AGCAGGAAATTGTTTTTCCATGAATTTTCCGTTTTCTAGTAGTTAATGAAAAAAAAAATGTTTCATATCTACCAAAGTTCCCTTTGTAGCAAACTTAGAGTCTTATTTCATCAAGTAAGGGGCAGTTTTGTTTTGTTTTAGGTATCTCCGGTCTTCTTCGACTGGTGAGAAATGATCTTAGGATGAGCTCCTAGTATCTGACTTAACCCTTGTCTCTGTTTTCCCTTTCTCTGTAGGTGGCATTGCCAGGACTTACACAGACCAATGTGTACAGATTCTAACAGAACTACTGGGGCTTCAGCAAGAACACATTACCACTGGTAATAGCTACCTTTCTAGAATTATTGTTTTGTCAAGTCCCTGGCCTGTAGTAGTTGCTCAAAAAACATTTGCTGTTGAATGAATGATATAGAAGTTTAAACTTCTCCTTGCACCATCTTCTTGCTGTTAGAGAACCATAGGGCCTATAAACTTAATAGTGCAGAGTCATCAGGCTGCTGTGAGTCTAAGGCTGTACTATAAATAATGAAAGGTACCAGGATGAGCTTGCTTTATTATTTCTCCTCCTTTACCCCTTTTTCTACTTAATGGTAATAAGCTATAGGCAGTGGTTTCCAGGGCTAGGAATAGGGTGAGGCAAGCAAGATGCCTAGGATATCAAATATAAGAAGGCATTCATTCTCAGGTTCATGCAAGTGCCAGCCCTGTATCTCTTCTTAAAGTTTGCACTTTAGACACCTTGCTTGCCTCGTAATAGTCCCAGTCATGGTGGATCCATTTATACTGTCTTCTGAGTATCATTCAACAGCAGCAATACTATATCTGCTTCACATTTTTTAAGGTGCTTTCCCATACCTTAGTTCATTTATCCTCACATCAGTCTAATCAGGGCAACATTCATTCAAGAAATTATTGGCCATGTCATCCATTTCTCAAATAATCATTGACCATCCAGCCAAAACCCATTTTACAAAAATTCAGCTAGAAATCTAGTTTGAATACATGTCCTTCCTGCCTAGAGACTCTAATGCTGGGCTCTTTTATCCTGCACTCTGTTGTAGTGGTGGTGCAGACTTTCCGGGACCTGGTTTGGTTGTGTCCTCAGTGTACTGAAGCTGTGTGTCAGGCACTGCCCGGCTGTGAGGAGAACATTCAGGACAGTGAGGTAGACTATAATTCTGCTTTACTTCTGGGCAGAGGGGGGATGCTTGGGATACTGCCCTCTTAAATAGAATCTAAGCATTTCTTCTACCACATGTCTGAAGTTACTCTTACCTTTGATTGCCACCTTGGATTCTATTTTGAATGTAGATGGCATGTAAATGCTAAAAATAGGATATATATATATATATTTGGAGAGGTCTTTGCTATAGGGTGTGTGCGCTCGCCAAAAAGACAGAGAGAGACAGAGAGATAGAAAGCGAGAAATCAACCCCCAGGGGGGATGGCCATGCCGTAATCCCTTCTCCTCCATTCTCCTCTCGGGATCTTGGGCACGCACGCACACGCGCCCGGCGTGAGTTTTAAGCCACCAGGTCCGGGACGCGAACCGCGGTCGACTACGTGGGAGTCCAGCAACATAGCCATCATGCTAACTGCTGGTCCCAGGATTTATATTTTGATACATTGTTCTCTTGAAGTTTGGAGTCGGAAATTTAGACCATGGAGTTTTTAACTGAAATGAGAATCAGAAGAGTCATTTGTGGAATTCTCCAGAAATTTGGGCTTCATCTCAGGTCTGTTGACTTAAATATCCAGGGATGATGGACCTAGACAGATACAGATAGAGTCTTGCTATGTTGTATTTCTCCTACCTCAGCCTCCTGAGTAACTGGGTCTATATGTGTGTGCCACTGCACCTGACTGCTAGGATGGGCTAACAATCAAACCTAGGCCTCTCATATGGCCTCAGTCTGCCAAGTAGAAGTGTCAGACAGTATGCAATACTGTGGCTTGGCCAATGGGTATATTTTTAAGAAGCTTCAAAGATGGTTGGGAAACACATTCTAGGTTATAACCACTTTCATAAAAAATTAAGAGAAATTCTTTTCAGTAGCTTTCACTGAAACACTAAACCTCAAATTAGGCCGGAGGTCCAAACTGAGGAAACCTCGTTTATTGCTTAATCAACATAGATTATAAAAGTTTTGGATTTCCTCTCATGTGTTAGAATGTCATTCTTATTTGGTTGTAGAAATAGTGGGTAGGATTGATACAATGCAAGGTGAAGTAAATCAAAGATTATATTCTTTGTTCTGGTACTAGAGGAAAGCAAAATCAGCAATTTTCTATCTCCTGTGGGTTAGACAGCCAAGCATTAAGTACCTGTTCTTATTCCTTCCTTCCCTAGGGGAAACAGGCACTTATTTGGCTACTCGGGGTCCATGGGGAAAGAATTCCCAATGCTCCTTATGTGTTAGAGGACTTTGTAGAGAACGTGAAATCAGAGACATTTCCAGCTGTTAAGATGGAGCTGCTCACTGCACTGCTGCGACTTTTCCTCTCTCGACCTGCTGAATGCCAGGACATGCTGGGGCGTTTGTTACATTACTGCATAGGTGGGTGTTTCAATCTGTTCTCTTGCTAATAACAGAAAATTCCTGAAACTGGGTGATGTATAAGAACAGAGGCTTATTTAGCTCATAGTTTGGTGGTGCAAGGTCTAGGACACAGGTTGGTGGAGCATAGGAGCACCTGCATGTGTGGCTCTGTTCTGGTCTCATTCCTTCTCCTTATAAACTCACCTAGAGTCAGTCATGGGTCATGGGTACCTGACCCTAGTGACCATAATCCCAATCTTTTCCCAAGTGCCTTACCTTTCAACAACATAGTTGGGTTAAGGTATCACTCTCTCAATTCTTTTTTTTTTTCCATATATAATATTCATATATAATATTTATTCACATATAATATTCATATATAATAGCATATATGCCCTTCTTTCTTTGAGACATGGTCTTGCTATGTTGTTGAGGCTGGCCTCAAACTAACAGTCCTTTGCCTCAACTTCCCCAGTCTTGGACTACAGGCATGCACACCTGATCCTGGCTTCTGCCCTTCGTATAGTCTCCTCTTTTATAAAAGGCGTTATTTTCTAGTCTCAAGCAAACCTCCTCCTTCACAGCCCCCCGCCTCTACTCATCAAGTGTTAAAAAGACATCTTCCTAAATTTCAAATTGTTCTCTTCTCCATTGGAGTTCCACTCTGCAATTCTATTTCTTCATAATTCTGGCATGTGAGATTTTAAATTGCTCTGCTGCAGTTTTCTCTTCTTCGTCAGTGGTGCCAGCTCCACGTTTGTTTGTTTTCGTAGCTCTTGTATCATAGTCATAGTCTTATTCAAAGTAGCACAGATGCGGCTCTTAGTCTCTTCCTGTTTAATAGCAACTGATTTAATGCGTACATACGAAGTTTGATACCGAGATTTTATAGCTGACAATTCCTTTAAGAGTGTAATTAGATTTTTCTTGCGTGCTGAATCAGGGTGATTGGTCTTGATTTCATATTCCAGCCTGTACTGAATATAATCCAGATCAGAGTCAGCTTTCTGGAACATCAGTTCCAGTTTATCGACCTCTGCCTCCATGTTGAATAGTTGACATTCCTCAGGCCTCAATGGCGATTAAGTCTCACCCTCTCAATTCTGTCATAACCAAATCTCACTACATGAATTTTGGGGGCATATTCAAATGATAGCAATAGGTTTTTCAGAAGGAAATAGTATTTACTATGACCCTTAGTAAAAGTTATCATAGCTTTCATTGTTTGGTAAGTCACATCTGAGACCTGAGAAGAAAATGTTAATGCTTTTTAGTGTTTCATCCACCATTCATTTGGCTAGCATAAGGGTAGGAGGAGTTTTTTGTTTTGTTTTGTTTTGTTTTGTTTTAGAATTATTTATTTATTTAATTCCATTTATTATTATTATTATCATTAATTTGACCAAACAGAGAGAGAGAGAAAGGAAAAGCGAGAAAGTAATTGCCAGATCCAGGACTCAAACTGTGGTTAGCCATGTGGGAATCCAGCACCTTTAACCACCACGCCACCTGCCGACCGCTAAATGTTTTTCTTTTTAAGTAACTCAGTCTGTTTCCTTACATCAGAGGAAGAAAAGGATATGGCTGTACGGGACCGAGGTCTCTTCTACTATCGCCTCCTCTTAGTTGGCATTGATGAAGTTAAGCGGGTCCTGTGTAGCCCCAAATCTGACCCTTCTCTTGGACTTTTGGAGGATCAGGCAGAAAGACCAGTGAATAGCTGGGCCTCAGACTTCAACACACTGGTGCCCATTTATGGCAAAACCCGTTGGGCAGCTATCTCTAAATGCCAAGGGACAGAGCGTTATGGCCCAGAGCATCCTAATAGTGCATCCTTTGCTGCATCAGGTAAAAATCGTCCTTACTTTTTATCTTGTCATGATAAATTTTTTGCAATGACTGGTAGAAACTAGAGAATACACTAACTAAATCTCAAGCCGTTCCCTGAGTTTGAAAATTTGTAAGCAAAGAAGAAGTCTGTCATTGGTTATGTGAGCCATTTATCCAAACTTGAAAGTCATATTGTGTACTTTTGGGAATTTATCTAAAAAATATAATTCCTACAGATTAAAAACATCTCTCATACAAGCTTTCTGACTCTTTTAGGACCTCTGATTCCTGAAGAAAACAAGGAGAGGGAACAAGAACTCCCTGATTCTGGAACCCTCACGTTAGTCCCCAATTGCCAGCTTACTGCTGAGTATTTTGAGAAAACGTGGCGTAGCCTCAAAGTTGTTCATCAGCAAGTGTTGCCTTGGCAGAGAGCAGTCCATCCTGACACCCTCCAGATGGCTCTGCAAGTAGTGAACATCCAGACCATTGCAATGAGCAGGGCTGGGGCTCAGCCATGGAAAGCCTACCTCAGTGCTCAGGATGATACTGGCTGCCTGTTCTTAACTGAACTGCTGTTGGAGCCTGAGAACTTGGAAATGCAGATCTCTGTGAAACAAAATGAGGCAAGGACTGAGACACTGAACAGTTTTATTTCTGTATTAGAAACTGTGATTGGAACAATTGGAGACATAAAGTCATGACGACGCTTGCTGCTTGTCCTGAGTGAGATGAAGAGCTATCTGAATTCCTTAATCACTTGTTGAGCAGCTTAAGTCCAGCTTATATCATATGCAAAAGAGAATGAGAAATGTAGGAATCAGATTCTTATGATTTTGTCTAAAGATTATTCATTGTTCTCGTTATGCCTGTTGGCACCATTTTCTAATGGAATAGCGATATTGTTAGAGTTAATATTGGTAAGGGAATGGGTGAGAATAGGATTTGGATTATTTTCTAATCGATTTTAGAGATTGTGTTACTAATTAAAGATGCCTGACATCTGTGGAAACTTATGGGGGTGAGGGATTGTCATCATTTGTGGGGGTCATCTTTTCTTCCTTGGATTATTATAGTAAACTCCTGACTGTTCTCATATTTCCAATCATGCTTATCAGGCCAAAGTCCAAAGTCCTTAGTGTGGCATCTATGGTACCTCTTCAGTGTCATGTCTCACCACTCCCAAAATACCCTCTCCTTCTGGCAAAACAAACCCTTTGTAATTCCCTAAATACAGCATGTACCAGGTTCTCTCTCACTTCTGTGCCTTAACACCTTCCAATTTTTTGCCTTTTGTTTTAAATTTGCCAGGAAGAGGGAGAAAACACTCCCCAATGGGGCATGGACATGCCTCAATACGTTCTCCTCCATTTCTCCATTCTTTGGGATTTGGGGCAAACATGTGCATGTGCCCAGTGTGTCTTAACACTTGTTCTTATTTCTTTCTATTTTTTTTTTGGAGAGGTTGTTTTTTTTTTTGTTTTTTGTTTTTTTTTTTTTCACTATAGGGCATGTGCGCTCGCCAGACAGAGAGAGACATAGAGATAGAAAGCGAGAAATCACCCCCAGGGGGGATGGTCATGCCACAATCCCTTCTCCTCCATTCTCCTCTCGGGATCTTGGGCACGCACGCACACCCGCCTGGCGTGAGTTTTAAGCCACCAGGTTCAGGAGGTGAACCACAGTCGACTACGTGGGAGTTCAGCGACATAGCCATTATGCTCACTGCTGGTTCCCAACTTATTCTTATTTCTTGCCTAGAGAATTTCTCTTTCTTTTAAAATTAACAGCTAGTCTATCTTTTAGTATTCAGCTCAGTCATGAACTCCTCTAGGAAGTTTTCGGTGACCCTCACTGCCTTCATTAGGGATCTGGTTCAGTTTGTTAGAACAGTCAGTGCAGGGACCAGCAGATGGCATAATGGTTGTGCTGCTGGACTCCTATGTAGTTGATCATGGTTCAAGTCCTGGACCCAGTGGCTTGGAAAACTCCACCAGGTGGCTATGTGTGCACGTACCCAGAATCCCTAGAGGAGAATGGAGGAGAAGGAATTGCAATGTGGCTATTGAAGTGATTTCTTATTTTCTGTCTCTCTGTCCTTCTCTAGCTCTCTGTCTCTCTCTCTCTCTCTGGTGAGCACACATGCCCTGTAGTAAAAATCTCCCACCAAAAAGAAGTCAGTACATGTATCTAGAAGTATTATTGTAATTGTTTCTTGTTGCTCATCCTTTTTATTTTATTCATACCTGACTACATCTTACACATTAATTGAGACAGCATACGGCAAGAATATGCGAGAATCCGGAATGGAGAAAATTAAAATATCAGTTAAGACCACTAGGATTGGAGGTGGGGACGTACACAAATATTCAGGCTGTAAGGACCTACATAGATGATATTGTTGAGCCTCAAGTTTGGCTCTGTAGGTGATGTGGCAGTTGTAGTGAAGAGGAAAAGTAATGGAATTGTCCTCAGAAACAAACAGTCCTATTTTAGTTTCTAAAAGAAATTTACATGTAATAGTTTCACTTAGGTGGCACTAAATGATATGTAAAAGATCTTACAGGAAGTTAGTAAAGGATTTCACATGATTTTTTTCCTACAGTGTTCTCCATTAAAGGCAAAGAGCAAATACCAGCAGATGGCATTAATGGTTACGTTGTTGGACTCCTACATGGCTGACCATGGTTTGAGTCCTGTACCTGGCAGCTTGACACTGAGGATGCATTTGAGAGAATGTCCAAAATCCCAAGAGGAGAATAGAGAAGAAGGGATTGTGGTGTGGCCATCCCCCTTAGGGTGATTTCTTGCTTTCTGTGTCTCTGGCGAACACAAGTGCTCTATAGCAAAAATCCCTCTTTAAAAAAAAAAAAAGCATAACTTCAACATGAAGCTTAATAAAGGCATTCCTTCAAAGACTTAACATGATCCAAGTATATAGCTTTCATCATCCTGCTTAATTCAAGGACAGACTACATATTCTTCAGATAATTTTTCACCCATCACTTCTCTCAAATAGTCTCTTCATAGGAGTAGATAACAGTATTGAATGTTCTGGTAAGGGCCTGGGTTTTGTGAGCCATTTGTTGAAGGATCTTCCCTACTGGGATGATTTCTAAGGACAATGATTATCTTTTCTTCAGTCTACACAGTGCCTGCCACATGGTATTACTTAGTAAAATACTTGAAGTGTGTTTTATTATACCAACTATACAGAAAAGGGAATTCCATCTAGACCTGGATTTGTTAAAAGCAGCAGTATTGACATTTGAGGCCAGATAATTATTTGTTATGGGGGGCCTTCCTGTGCCTTATAGGATGGTAATTAGCAGTATCACTGGCCTTTATACACTGGATGTCAGTAGAACCCCCAGTTGTGACAACTAAAAATGTGCTCAGACTTCATCAAAGGTCTGGGGTGGCAAAATTGCCCCTCATTTGAGAACCACTGATCTAGATCATGGATCTCCACAGGGCCTAGAAAGGGAGGAAGCAGCTTCACAGTTGCTTTTTCTGTATTTTTATTCACTCAGTTAAACCATGAATGTTTAACTAGATTCTAGAAGATGTAAAATTGAAGTGTAAAGTGCTTCGATTTAAAGTAGAATAAGGGAACAGGGTACAGGTGGTAGAAATTAAGTAAACTGATTGACTTTTTAATTTAAAAGCTATAAATGAAATGTCAATATAAAGAAAAGTAGGTATGGCTCAGCAAGTGTTAAATAATGTTACTGAAGTGATCCCAGCTGTTAGAGCTTTTAGAATATTAAGTTCTATTTTGTTATTTTTTTGTAATGTAAGAGGCATCCATAGCAGAATATGAAAGCATTGCTTTTGGAGAGTACACTTTTAAAAATTAACTCAATGAAGAGCTGATTTCTTCTGTAGCCTGGATTTACTGATTTATAAACAAGATGACCAAAGCTCAAGTATACCTTGAAGTTAACCCTTTAATATTATTCTCCTCTGAGACCAGCAGTGTACTCTCACATGACCAGCTGTGGTTCAAGTCCTGGAGCTAGTGGCTTAAGAATCACACTGGGCGAGTACGTATGTGTGCCCCAAATCCCAGGAGGAGAATGGAGGAGAAAGGATTGTGGTGTGAGCTTCTCCCCAGAGGGGTTAATTTCTCACTTTCCTTCTCACTGTCTCTACAGCAAGTGCACACACCCTAAGGAAAAACAAAAACAAACTTAAACAAATATTATTCCCTCTATTCTTTGTATATAGTCCTCTTACAACTGTCCTGTCCCTTCTTAGATATTGGGTGTCTGGGGGAGAGGGAACATGTGACTTGTTTCTTGGTTACAGGTCTCCAGAGGAGCTGCATCTAAGGGGCTTCATCCACATACACATCTGGTGCAGATGACAAGATCCTAGACTTTGAAATAACAATATGAGACAAGGGTTTTGGGAGAGGGATGAAAATTGTTGTGGAAGGAGGGTGGTAAGAAAAACAACTAACAGTAAAACATTTCTGGCCTCATTACTGTGTAGTAATAAGTAGAGCACCCTATGAGAACTGTGAGTGAAGGTATGTGGGCTGAGAGGTAAGGGATGGTTTAGAGGGTGCTGCATTAGAGACCCAGGGAGAAGTAAACAAAGGAGGAAAATTTATTCTATGTTGCCCATGAGGGTCTGTACTCTGTTTCTACAGCCTTACAACATTGATTATATAAGATAATGCAAAGGAGTCAAGATTAGGTCCCAAAGATGGCATTACCCATAAACATATCAGTAGCGAAATGAGGAAGATGGTTTATTGTTGTGAAAAATCTTGAATTTGAGGTAAGAGTTGTTTTTTTCAATTTCAGTTTTCCCACTTATGGATGTGTGAACTTGGGCAAGCTATTTAACATGGTCTCTTTTAAACATTTTTTGGTTTTGTATATTGTTTTGGGAATATATTATAAATGTATTTATTAGAGTTCTTAAATTGTCAGTGAGGGCTCTAAGTGTAAAAGCCTGGCTTAGAATTTTCTGAGGGCTCTTCTAACAATAGAGCCTACTTGTTAGTAACTGAAGTTTCAGCCTTTTTATCTCTAGAGAGAATGAGTGATAGATAACGACAAGTGAAAATGGCTCTCTAACTACACAGGATCATAATTTCTGTTTCTAGTCCAAAAGCAATTTATAATTTTTTCTTTTTTGGAGAGGTTTTTGCTATAGGGCGTGTGCACTCACCAGAAAGAGAGAGACAGAGACAGAAAGCGAGAAATCACCCCTGGGAGGGATGGCCATGCTGCAATCCCTTCTCTTCCCTTCTCTCAGGATCTTGGGCACGCATGCACATGCATCCAGCGTGAGTTTAAGCCACCAGATCTGGGACTCAAACCACAGGCGACTACATGGGAATCCAGTGACTCCCATGCTGTCACTAGACAGACAACTGCTGGTCACAGGCAATTTATAAATTTTTTTAATTAAGATTTTCTTTTAAGAGTAGTTTTATGGGAGACCAGCAGTTTAGTGTAATGGCTATGTCGCTGGACTCTCATGTAGTCAACTGCGTTTCGAGTCCCGGACCCAGCAGCTTAAACTCACACTGGGCGCGTGTGCATGCGTGCCCAGGATCCCGAGAGGAGAATGGAGGAGAAGGGATTGCAGCATGGCCATCCCCTCTGGTGGGTGATTTTTCACTTTCTATCTCTCTGTCTGTCATTGTCTTTCTGGTGAGCGCACATGCCCTATAGCAAAAACCTCTCCAAAGGGAAAAAAAAAAGCTAAAAAAAAAGAGTAGTTTTAGGGCCAGCTGGTGGCATAATGGTTAAGTGAATCCCACATGACTGACCATGCAGTTCAGATCCCAGACCAGGTGGCTTTAAAAACATGCTGGACTCCTGTACATGCCCCAAGTCCCAAAAGAAGAGAGAAATGAAGGAGAAGGAATTGTGGCAAGACTATTCCACATGGGGGTGCTTTCTTACCACTCCCTTTTTCTGCCAAGCACCTGTTGGCAAAATTTTGGGGGAAAAAAAGCAGTTTTAGGTTTATAATAAATTTGAGAGGATGGTAGAGATTTCCCATCTATTCTCCACCCCCACACATACACAGCCTTCCTCATTATCAACATCCCCCTGGACCAGAGTGGTACATTCATTGTAATTGAAGAACTTACCTCATTAGTTATCATCCAAAGTCCAATTATCATCCAAATTCCTCCTGGTCTTCATAGCTTAATAGCTTTTTTTTTTTTTTTTTTTGAGAGGTTTTTACTTTAAGGGCCATTGCCCTCGCCAGACAGACAGAGAGAGACATTTTTCCAGGGGGGATGGTCACGCCGCAATCCCTTCTCCATTCTCCTCTCGGGATCTTGGGCACGCACGCACACGCACCCGGCGTGAATTTTAAGCCACCGGGTCTGGGACACGAACCGCGGTCGACTACGTGGGAGTCCAGCGACATAGCCATTACGCTAACTGCTGGTTCCCAATAGCTTTTTTTTTTTAGAATGATTTTATTTAACTTTATCCATCATTATCATTATTCTCTTTTTAAAATTTGACCAGAGGGGAGGACAGCTGGCCATGTGGGAGCCCAGCACCCCAACCACCATGCCACCCACAAGCCCCATTCATTTATTTTTAATGCTGAATAATATTTCAATGTCTGTATGTACCACAGATTATTTATTCATATGCCTACTGAAGGACATCTTGCTTCCAAACTTTGGTAATTATGAATAAAGCTTCTAGCTGCTATAAACATCCATCTGCATGTTTTGTGTGGACATGAGTTTTCAACTCCCTGTGAGTAAATACTATGGAGTATTAATTACTGGATCTTATAGTAAGATATGTTTAATACTGTAAGAAATCATTGTCTTCTAAAGTGACTGTACCATTTTGTATTCCCACCAGCAATGAATGAGTTCCTGGTTTTCTACATTCTTGTCAGCATTTGGTGTTGTCAGTGTCTTGAATTTTGCCTTTTTTATTTTTTTGAGAGAGGTTTTTGCTATAGGGCGCGTGTGCTCGCCAGAAAGACAGAGAGAGACAGAGAGACAGAAAGCGAGAAATCACCCCCCAGGGGGGATGGTCACGCCGCAATCCCTTCTCCATTCTCCTCTCGGGATCTTGGGCACGCACGCACACGCACCCGGCGTGAATTTTAAGCCACCGGGTCTGGGACACGAACCGCGGTCGACTACGTGGGAGTCCAGCGACATAGCCATTACGCTAACTGCTGGTTCCCAATAGCTTTTTTTTTTTAGAATGATTTTATTTAACTTTATCCATCATTATCATTATTCTCTTTTTAAAATTTGACCAGAGGGGAGGACAGCTGGCCATGTGGGAGCCCAGCACCCCAACCACCATGCCACCCACAAGCCCCATTCATTTATTTTTAATGCTGAATAATATTTCAATGTCTGTATGTACCACAGATTATTTATTCATATGCCTACTGAAGGACATCTTGCTTCCAAACTTTGGTAATTATGAATAAAGCTGCTAGCTGCTATAAACATCCATCTGCATGTTTTGTGTGGACATGAGTTTTCAACTCCCTGTGAGTAAATACTATGGAGTATTAATTACTGGATCTTATAGTAAGATATGTTTAATACTGTAAGAAATCATTGTCTTCTAAAGTGACTGTACCATTTTGTATTCCCACCAGCAATGAATGAGTTCCTGGTTTTCTACATTCTTGTCAGCATTTGGTGTTGTCAGTGTCTTGAATTTTGCCTTTTTTATTTTTTTGAGAGAGGTTTTTGCTATAGGGCGCGTGTGCTCGCCAGAAAGACAGAGAGAGACAGAGACAGAAAGCAAGAAATCACTCCCCGGGGGGATGGCCACACCGCAATCCCTTCTCCTCCATTCTCTTCTAGGGATCTTGGGCACACATACATATGTGTCCAGTGTGAGTTAAAGCCACCAGGTCTGGGACTTGAACCGGTGTCAACTACATGGAAGTCCAACGACATAGCCATTATGCCAACTGCTGGTCCCAATTTTGGCCATTCTAATAGGTGTGTAGAATGGGATAGAAGACAAGATTGTTTCTGATTATTTTGCAAGATAGAAATTCCCTTCTGGGGGCCAGCAGGTAGTATGGTGGTTAAGGGTGTTGGACTCCCACATGGCCAACCATGTGGTTAGAGTTCTGGACCTGGAGGCTTGCTTTCTCACTTTCTCTCTCTCTCTCTCTCTCTGTGTCTCTCTATGGAAATATTAAAATAATAATAATAAATATAGTTTAAAGATTTTCCCTTTAAAAAAAGAGAGATTCTATTCTGAACAACTGACTTAACTGGGTTTTATTTCTTCTTCTTTTTTTTTCTTTTTTTTTTTTTTGACAGAGGACATGTGTACTCTCCAGAGAGAGAAAAAAGAAAATATCTTTCTCCAATAGGACATGGCCATGCTGCAATCCTTTTTCCTCCATTTCCGCATCCCATCAGGATATGGGGCACACATGCACATGCACCTGGAATGTTTTCCATACTGGTGGGTCTGGGATTTGAACCATAGAGGGTCATGTGGGATCCAGCTCCCAATGCACAGTGCTTAGCTATTGTACTAAGGAGCCAGCCCCTTACTTTCTGCTTATGCTCAAATTTCTTATTAGTTGGAACTGTTAAATCACTACATCTGACAGGTTTGAGTGACAGGTTTTTGATAGGTTTAAATGCTATTTCTGAGATCCAGATCCAGAATCTGGTCTTAGCTGTATTAAGAAGGCAGCCACAACAGGTAAGTGTCCAGTCCTAAGGTCTCTATAAAAAATGATAGAGTCATGGGACCAGCAGGTGGCATGCTGGATTCCCACATGGATGACTGTGGTTTGAGTCCTGAACCCGGTGGATTAAAAATCACACAGAGCCTCTGTGTGTGTGTGTGTGTGTGTGTGTTTCCAAAATTTTGAGAGGAAAATAGAGGAGAAATTATTGCAGCATGGCCATCCTCTTTTGGGCTGATTTCTCACTTTCCCTCTCTCTGTTTCTCTCTAGGGAGTGTATGTGCCCTATGGCAAAAACCTAAAAAAAAAAAAAAAAAAAATTCTAACCTAATTAAAGAAAAACCCTTTAATTAGAGAGTGACTCTCATATCCCTTTCATTCTAGCCCTTATGCCTTGGGCTTAAAAAGAAGACATTTAACTTTTACTACATGCATACTGAACAGTACTTGGTCATTCTTCATAACATTATTTAATCTAATCTTCATAATTTCTCTGTGAGATACTTTGTATTATCCCATTTGCAGTTATTCAAATGTTCAAGTTTTTTTTTTCTTTCACTTTCCCAATCTTTATATATATTATCCCTGTATTATCCCTTTATATATATTATCCCCCTGGAACAGTGTTAGTCCTCTTTTTTGCTCAATGATGCCTACTCACCATTCAAAGTTCATCTCAGATTTAACTACTTTAAGGGAGACTTCCTAATTCCCTATATCTGTGTCCCTATTAAAGTCCCATAGAACACTGTTATCTCACTAGCACAAGAAAATTATGTCAGTTCTGCTGAAGTCTAAGTTCTGTGAACACAAAACCGTACCTCTCTCATTTTTGTGTTATTTGTAGTGCCAAGTAATCATTGTATGACAGCAAATAAATGCCATAACAGAAGTTGAGTGCTAATCTATTATAACTTAAACACCTCCTTTTAGAGGCCGGTAGGTAGTGTGGTGGTTAAGGGTGCTGGACTCCCACATGGCTGACTGCAGTTTGAGTCCTAGACCTGGTGGCTTGCTCTCTCTCCTCTCTGGTCAGATTAAAATGAATGAATGAATGAATAAATAATCATTTAAAAAAACCTCAACAACCTCCTTTTAAATTATAGCTTACAGGGAACCAGCAGTTAGCATAATGGCTATGTCGCTGGACTCCCACGTAGTCGACCGTGGTTCATGTCCTGGACCCGGTGACTTAAAACTCATGCCGGGCGCGTGTGCGTGCGTGCCCAAGATCCCAAGAGGAGAATGGAGGAGAAGGGATTGCGGCGTGACCATCCCCTCTGGGGGGTGATTTCTCGCTTTCTGTCTCTGTCTGTCTGGCGAGCGCACGCGCCCTATAGCAAAAACCTCTCCAAAAAAAAAAAAAAAAATTATAGCTTACACAAAACCTAACCCTGTTTTTTCACACTATGATCCCCTAACCCGGTTTTTCAGGATTTTGGGTACCTGGAATGTTCTCAGGCCAACCCAGGGATCTGGACGTGCAGTTGCTGTATGGTTTCCAGCCTTGTAGCGCATTTGTGTTACCATGATGCCACAATAACTGGCCCAACAGGAAGTATTTCTTTACTTCCCTTTTATTTTCTTTTCCTTTCTTTCTTTTCTTTCTTTTTTTTTTTTTGTTTAAGTTTTTGCCATATGGTGTGTGTACTCACTGGAGAGAGACAGAGTAATACAGAGAAAGTAAGAAATCATCTCCCCATACACATCTGGAGGGATGGCCATGCTACAGTCCCTTCTCCTATAGTCTCTTCTTGGGATTTTGGGCACACAAGCCTGGTATGATTTTTCAAGCTCCTGGATCTGGGGCTGGAATTCTGGTTGGCCAGGTGGGAGTCCAGCACTGTAACCACCATCCCAGCTGCTCACCCCAATGTATTTCCTTTTTTTAAAATTCCTATAGGGCATGTATGTTTGTGAGAGTGAGAGAAAGAGAGGAAGACAAGGAAAATGAGAAAGCACTCCCCTTCCCCTGGTGAATGGCCATGCTGCAATCTCTTCTCTATTCTCTGAAGATTTGGGGCACACAGGCACATGCAGCCAGCACGATATTTAAGCCACCAGGTCCGACTCAACCCATGCAGTTGGCCAGATGGGATCCAGCTGCTTTAACCATGACACTGGCTGGCCCTGGAAGTATTTCTTAGTGAAATTACCTAAACAGATCCTCTTCAGTTCTATTTCAGTTGTAGATCACCTATCAATAATTATAAAAGTTATTCATTAATCTATGGACTAGCTAGGGCGTGGTTCTGAGATAAGGAACTTAACGTCTTGAACAAGTCTCCCCAGTTCCGTGTGAAGGAGCTTTTCAGAGGAAAGCTCTTTCAGAGCAGCTACTTTAGAAGATAGCTGTTGGGAAAGGCTCACGACTACGTATCCAATTAGGAAACTACAAGAAGAAGTAGAAACATCTGCTGGTTTACCTGTTTCTATCCTGCTGATCTGAAAATTGCTTGTTTTCTGGAAAAGAAAAACTCAGCAGCAAATATTTAAAATGAAGAGCCCCCGAACTTTTGAGGAGCAAACTGAATGCATTGTGGAAACTCTACTCATGGACTTGTTAGGCCCGGCACCGCAGGTTTCTAACCGAAGCCTCTGCTCAGTAGATGAACCAGATTCAGGTAAGCTTCCTGACCTGCAGTGGCGATTACAGATCAGTTAGAGTATTTGAGTATGCTTCCTTTCATTCTGCTTGTTTCAAAAGGCAAACCTAAGCTTTCAGCAACACCTGTAGGGAAGGAGATCTCAATGAAAGGAACATTTTTGACTATTGGTGTTGACAGAACGTTGAAGTTCTTGGGAAAGAATGATGCCAAAGTTGTTTAAAAGATTAGAAAATGCTTCCCCATTTCCCAGATTTCTAGGACTTGTCATCCCTTCAAACATTGTGACAAACGTGTTTCCTCCATTTTAGGAGAAGCTTGCTCTTTCGATGTGGCTATCATTGCTGGTCGCCTTCGGATGTTGGGTGACGAGTTAAATGAAGAATTCAAGGGAGAATTGGAAGCTTCTGCCAAAAGCATTGCAGAAACCATTCATGGACAGGTGAAGTGTCTATCTTGCTATTGTTTGCTGCTGCTTTTCTATCTCAAAAATCTTTTCTTACTATTCCTGTGCCGCTGTAACTATGAATGGCTGTAAAAGATTTGAGAGGCTTATATTCATCCAAGGAGATACAGCAAGAATTTCCCCACTGCTAGTCAGTCAAAATCTGAGTGATAAAGTTGGAAAGCTCTTGGCATAGGCCAGTCAACGGTTAGCTTGTCCTCACTTGTTTTCCATCAGAGTTGTGCTTAGTGCACATACAGCACATCTGTAACACTTTATTCTTTTCTTAAAGGATTATTTATTTAATTTTATTTATTATTATTATTATTTTAAAATCTGACCAGAGAAAGAGAGAGAGGAAGAGAGAGAGAATGAAAGTGAAAAACCAAGTCTCCAAGTCCAGGATGTGAACTGTGGTCGGTCGTGTGGAAGTCCAACACCTTAACCACCATACTTCCTGCAGGCCCCTATAACACTTTATTCTTAGCAAAGTATCTTTTATACATGTTTTAATACTTATTTTTTGGGAGTGAACATCTTTCCCCGCTAGGGTCCAGTAGTAAAATATATATACATGGGGAGGAGAGGCAGTTACAAGTCTGATGCAATGAGACCTAAGTCCTTATGGCACCTCGCTGCATTTTTACCAGAATGCTGATTACAGATTACTGCAGTAGCACTTGGATCTGTATTACATATAAAGACCATAGATAGTGTTCTAGGAGATGTTGCTGATTGATATCAACAGTAACAGTTAATATGAACTCATCACTTACCATGTCTTTTTTTTTTTTTTTTTGGGACGTTTTCGCTATAGGGCGTGTGTGCTCGCCAGACACACAGAGAGAAACATAGAGACAGAAAGCGAGAAATCACCCCTCGGGGGGGATGCTCACGCTGCAATCCCTTCTCTTCCATTCTCCTCTTGGGATCTTGGGCACGCACGCACACGTGCCCGGCATGAGTTTTAAGCCACCGGGTCTGGGACGCGAACCGCGGTCGACTACGTAGGAGTCTAGCAACATAGCCATTACATTAACTGCTGGTTCCCACCATATCTCATTATCGATTGTCTCATTCATCATTATACCCTTAGTAATTAATTAGTATTTCTGAGATAGTTACTTTGAAACTATGTAAATATCTTTTATATCATCATAATTCACGCCCAACTGAGTTGAGCCGCCGGGTCCAGTCGACTACATGGGAGTCCAGCAACATAGCCATTATGCCACTGCTGGACCCCAGAATTGGACTTCTTACAATTACTTACCCTGAGGCTGTCCTCTATTTCTCCATTCCATCAGGATTTTAGGTACACATGCCCAGCTTGTTTTCTAAGCCATAGAGCCCAGGACTTGAACTGCACTAAGCCATGTGAGATGAAGCTCCCAATGGTACTTAACCACTGTACTACATAGCTGGCCCTGGTGTTGTTAACTTGAATCACTTAAGATGGTGGGACCAGCAGGTGGCATGGTGGGTAAGGTACTGGACACTCCCGCATGGCTGACCATGGTTTGAGTCCCGGACCTGGTCGCTTACTTTCTCTCTCTCTCTCTCTGTGTATCTATGGTCAAATTAAAATATATGAATGAATAAATAAACTTAAATAAAAATAATTTAAGAAAAGATGGTATCTGTAAGCCTTCTTTACTGTACTCTTTCACCTTAGTAATAAGTATTTCAGAGATAGTTACTTTGAAACTATGTAAATATCTTATGTATCATCATAATTTAAATCTTTTTGTTTCTATTGGGTTGTCAGAAAAGTCATGACACATTTTTACACAGAAAAATAAAAATACATCATGACTTTCCTAAGGACCCAATATATCAGCATGAACCCACAAATTCCTATATTCTTCAGTGGGTTATAATTTGTTACTATCATTATTTCCTTAGATGCTTGGATTGTCGTAGACTTAGCTAGTGGGAATCTTTTTGATCTGCACTGTCTCTTATTTATTTATTTATTTATTTATTTTTGCTAGAGGGCATGTATGCACATGAGGGAGAGTGAGTGCAATCCCTTCTCCATTTCTCCATCCTGTCAGGATTTGGGGCATCTGGTGTATTTGAGGCTGGGATTCAAGCTGTGCAGTCGGCAACACGAGATCTGGCTCCCTCAACAACCAGGCCATGGACCTAGCCCTGGACTGTGTCTTTTTCATGACTCTATCATTCTTTGAGTACTTCCTTAATTTCTAATAGATCTTATATTTTCATGCCCCAGCCTAGAATCAGTCATTCTCCAGGAAGCTCTGGGTTCTTTGAATAGAGCATGGTGTTTACAAGCCAGTATCCTAGGTGAATATTCTATTTTTTAAATTTACTAAAGAGAAAGAGCATGGCTCACTGAGAAACACACTGGATTCCTGTACTCCATCCTTCTGTGCTTTTTGAGTAATGCTTCAGTGATATGTCCTATTTCTTCTCAGGTAGGAGATACATTCCAGGGCACAGTGAACTCTCTCAGCAAGGTCTGGTGTGCACAGGATTCCAGCTTTGCTTATGAGAGAGCCTGTCTGGCAGTATCAGTGAAACTTATTGAGTATGTGGCCCGCATCACTCCTGAAATGGCAAGACAGGTGGCTATCTCTATGACGAGTATGATCAATGGGAATGCAGCCATCCGGGAGTATGTTGAGAGCCAGGGAGGTTGGGTAAGTATGTTGGGGCCCCTGGCTTTGCTAGGCATTTGCACTGTACTTGTGTTAATACCTGGAACTTTAATTCATGACCCTTTTGTGAGTCGGAAACTAAGCAGGAAAACAGAATTTCCTTGCCAGCAATTCCGGGCATTTTCCCTACTTTGTTAAAAATGTCAGGATTGTCTTACCCTGAGAGAAAAGAGCAGACAGAAGCTCAGCCTATGGGGGTTGGACTCCAGAATTGTGCTGTGTAAAATGTTGACGGTTGACTCTGTGAGGCTGATCTCTACTTCCTACATGTAGTCATCTATTGGTAGTGAAGTTACAACCTCAGCCTGATTTCAGTCTGCCTTTTGGTAAAGTTTTGGGTCTTTCTCTAATATCTTTAGGTATGTGTTGAGTTATTTAATATAATCTAACAAAAGCAGCCAGGCTCATCTATTGTAGCAATAACTATAGGAGGCTTCTAAGCCCGTGTCTTGGTAATTATTAGAACTTCTGCTGTCATGTAGCACTCTCCTCCAGTTCTCAGATCAGCAGAAGCCTTAGTTAGAGCCTCACTCCCTGCAGGTATCTGTGTACTTTCCCTGGTTTCTTAGGGAGCTCCTGATGACCATTTCTTTGACTGGAGGATTTTTACTATCCCTCCTAGGAAAACCTGGAGAGCTGAAGAAGAGATGAAGCTATTCCCCAGACAGAACATCACTTCCCCTTTGATGGATTGGGTGATTGATTTCTGGCAATTAAAACAAACAAAAAAAATCTACTTTCTTTATTTGGTCAGAATTGAACTCAGCTGAATCAGTTACTCTCTAGTGATTATTAAAGTTGAGAGAAATTCCTGAAGTCCTACAGATGTCTTATACTTTCTGTTTTAACAAGAGTTTTAATGAGGTTCTGTTGAAGCAAAGACCTCCAGACTCAGAAGGAATGACTTAGTAGTGGAATTCTAGGCATCAGGACAGGTCTTTGCTAGAGATATTTTGAGAAGATGGGAGAATATTCCTTCAGATTTACCCTTGTCCTTTAGTGAGGATCTTGTCTAATCATTCTGAAATCTAAAGGACTTCAGAGAATCAATTTTTTTTTTTTTTTTTTTGGAGAGAGGTATTTTTCTACAGGCCACGTGCACTCACTGGAGAAAGAGAAAGAGAAAGACAGAAAGCAAGAAATTGCCCCCCTAGGGGGGATGACCTTGTTGTAATCCCTTCTCCTCTATTCTCCTCTCAGGATCCTGAGCACACATGCATGTACACATACCCAATTTGAATTTTAAATTGTTCGGTCCAGGACTTGAACCACAGTCAACTACATGGGAGTCCAGCAACATAACCATTATGCCATCTGCTGGTCCCCTTCAAGGAGATTTTTAATTGAAAAAATTTTATGTTGAGAATTTTCTTTAAAATCATTCCTAAATTTGATGTCAGTTTCACCTGAGGAGACTTACTTTATACATTCTAGAGGTTGGAAGCCAAAGATAACAAATTGTTTATCTACTCTCCACCTAGAAAGGTCAGAGGAAGATAAAATATTTACGTTTCGTTTAACTGTCACAGGATGCAGGAAGTGCCAGCCACATCTAGGACAGGAGGACCGCCCAGCTTAGATAAAGCTTATAGCATACCACAGCGTTTTTCAAAGTGTGGTTCATACACCACTTGTGGCCCTTATTAAATTGCTGCTCCTAGGACCTATCCCTAGAGATTTTGATTCTCTGGGGGTATACTGGCGCCTAATAACCTACCTTTTCAACCATTACCACAGATGATTCTGATGCATAAACAATTTGAGAACCATCAGTTTGGAGCAGGACTTGATACATTATAGCCCATAGGCCAAATCTGGCCTGTTTTCTATATTCATAATAAATTTTATTGGAATGAGACTACACTCATTTATATAATGTCTATGACTGCCTTCACAATACAGTGGCACAGCTGAATAGTTCCGGCAGACACCATATGGCCTGTCAAGTCTGAAATACTAGCCGGCCCTTTACAGAAGAAGCATGCTGTCTTCTCCTCTAAAGCTAAATGAACACTTCTCCTTGAGCAATTTAAAGTCTGTTTCAGGTCTGACCATTTTTGCAAAGTTGTAGGTAGGGTTTAACCTTAAAGATATTTACTCTTTTTCAGAACTCAGTCTGGGAGTTTTTGTTAGTGCTTGCATAGACCATACTTTCTCTAAGGCCTTCAGCCAATCAGAGAGTGCTATGGCTCCCATGTAGTTGATAGGGTATACATTTCCTTGGTCCTGTACGTGAGAGTGATAGAAGCAAAGCTTATGGTTTCCATAATTGCTCTACCCCAAAATAGTTCTTAATAACCTAATAGATTTGTAGGCAACCATCAGGTAAATACTGCAAAAACCAGACTATGTACCTGAATATTGGGAAGAGCACTGCCATACCTGTTTATGAAGAGAGGCATTAATGACTTTGGCAAAAGTTTAACAAAGCTAACGACTTTCCCTTGGCAAACCATCTCTCTGGCCCCACTAAGTGCAGAGAAGTAAAAATACAGTGCTGTTAATATAGATTTTTGCGGGACCAGCAGTTAGCGTAATGGCTATGTTGCTGGACTCCCATGTAGTCGACCACGGTTCGCGTCCTGAACCCAGTGGCTTAAAACTCAAGCCAGGTGTGTGTGCGAGCATGCCCAAGATCCCTAGAGGAGAATGGAGAAGAAAGGATTGCGGCGTGGCCATCCCCCCTGGGGGGTGATTTCTTTCTGTCTGTCTCTGTCTGTCTGGCGAGCGCACGCGCCCTATGGCAAAAACCTCTCCAAATAGATAGATAGATAGATAGATAGATAGATAGATAGATAGATAGATTTTTGCTCTTTATAGTTATGTTTATTTTCTTTATTCCCAGATAAACAAATTAGTCATCTAGAAATGAAATTTCTTGTCTCTCTTCAGTAGTAATTAGCCTTTCGTTGTTGTTACCAATTAAAATACTTTCTGTATTCCTTTGTTGTCCCTTATATTACCATAAACTCAGGATGATTAGTTTTGTGGTATTTGACTTCTTAGGCAAAACTCACTATTATCACTTCACTACTGCTGTTGTTTCTGAAATATTTTTCTGTCTATACACTTACTAAACAAAGTTTTAGTAAGTGTAATCTATACATTGAATTTTAAGTATTAGAGGCCAGCAGCCTGCCTTTCCTCTTTTCTTTCTTCCTTTACCCACGACAGCTATCTGTTTTATCTTATGTTGCCCATAAAACATTAAGCTGTACATTTAACTCCAGGTATACTGCAGCATCATGAGATTTGAAGATATGGTGCCTGGAGATTGCATCGGGCACATGAATGAAGCAGCCTGGCCTGGGCGTTGTATTTATTGGTTGGCCACCCTATTTTAGAAGAGCCTAAGTGAGTGGACTGCAGAAAGAAGACATTGTAACCGAGAAATCAAGAATGCATTCACCTTTGCCTGATTTTAACAATTTGGTTTCATGATAGGCTGATGATGTCATGACTTGGGCAAGTGACCTAACTCCTCTATGCTTTAGTTTCCACGCCTGTAAAATAAAGATGATTTAGTAACTGCTTCATAGAACAGTTGTGAGAGATAAATGGAATAATACACTTTGTAAAGGGCTTAGTCCAGTCCCTGGGATATTTTAAGTACTGTGTGCCATTAGCAATCTGGAACTCATGTGATTTGTAAATATCATTTATTTCCCTTTGTCCAAAATCCATGTCCACAAATAATCTCATTTCCATGTGTCTGTCTGTCTTTCTTTCTTTCTTTCTTTTTCTTTCTTTCTTTCTTTCTTTCTTTCTTTCTTTCTTTCTTTCTTTCTTTCTTTTTTAGAGGTTTTTGCCATAGGGCATATGCATTCACTGGAGACAGAGAGACAGAGACAGTGAGAGAGAAGGTAAGAATCCACCTCCCAGGGTGTATGGCCACACCACAGTCCCTTTTCTTCCACTCTCCTCTTGGGATTTTGGGCATGCACGCACAAACGCCTGGTGTGATTTTCAAGCCACTGGGTTCGGGCTCTGCACCTTGGTCAGCACTGTGAGAATCCAGTGCTGTAAGTACTACACCATCTACTGGTCCTCTGTGTGTCTTTCTTATCTACCATCCAGCTAGCTCAAAAACTCAGTCACTTTTACCTTCTTCCCCCTCCAGTCCCACTCACCAAATTAGTCATTTTCACTTATTCCTTTGTTCTTTTTTTTTTTTTTTTTTTTTTTGGATTTTTTAAAGAGGTTTTTGCTATAAGCACATGTGCTCACCAGAAAGAGAGAGACAGAGAAACAAAAAGCGAGAAATCACCCCCCAGGGAGGATGACCACGCCATAACCTCTTCTCCTCCATTCTCTCCTAGGGATTTTGGGCACAGTGTGAGTTTTAAGTTGCCGGGTCCAGGATTCGAGACACATAGATTATGTGGGAGTCCAGCGACGTAACCATTACGGCATCTACTAGTCCCGATTACTGTTTTCTTTTTAAAGAATTATTTTATTTGAGACCAGCAGTTAGCGTAATGGCTATGTTGCTGGACTCCCATGTAGTTGACTGCGGTTCGCGTCCTGGACCCGGTGGCTTAAAACTCATGCCAGGCGCGTGTGCGTGCGTGCCCAAGATCCCAAGAGGAGAATGGAGGAGAAGGGATTGTGGCGTGGCCATCCCCCCTGGGGGGTGATTTCTCGCTGTCACTCTGTCTCTCTCTGTCTCTGTCTGGCGAGCACATGCGCCCTATAGCAAAAAACAAAACAAAAACAACAAAAAAGAATTATTTTATTTAACTTTATTTATTTATTTATTTATTTTATAACTTGACCAGAGAGGGACAGAGCGAGCAAGAAAGAGAGAGAGGGAAAGTGAGAGCTAGCCACCAGGTCTGGGACTCAAACCACGATTGGTAAAGTGGGAGTCCAGCATCTTCAACCACCATGCCACCTGCCACCCTCCACCCCATTACCATTTTCTTAAAAGCCTTCAGTGGAACTTTTGAGGATGATCAATACCCTGATTGTGCAGTGTTTTCATGGGTATATACAGATAGTAAAACTTATCAAACTGTGTACTTTGAAATGTGTAGTTGATTGTATACTAATATTATCTCGATAAAGTTATTTTTGAAAAAACCTTCAGTGGCTCCCCATTAACAAATAAAACCTGATTCTTCAGCCTGATAGGTAGATTTCTCTAGAATCTGTCCCCAATTGCCACTTCTAGTCTGAGTCATGATTCATCAATCATAACTCTCTACAAACCCAGTGATATAGTAAAACTGAGCCACTCACTAAAACTTCCATCTTCCTACTGTTCTCAGTTTCATATTACTTTTTCTTAGGCTCTCATAGTCATCTTTAATACCCACTTGAATTGTCCCTTCTTCCATGAAGGCTATCCAGGTAACCTGAACAGGAAATTTTCTTTGCCTTCCCAAACTTCTGTATGGCTATGAAGGTTCTTATGACAAATGGCCTTTAATTGTACCTGTGTACTTATCTTCCCTACTAGAATAAAGGATACTCTAATGATACAGTTCATTTACATTTCCACAGTACTCCTCCTCCTCATTCTCTTGCAAGTACCTGGACATTATAAGTATTTATCACATGAATGAATACGTGATTGACTCAGATAAGCTCTCAGGTCAGATCATATATATATATTTTTTTTTTTTTTGAGAGGTTTATGCTGTAGGATGTGTGTGCTCACCAGACAGACAGAGACATAGAGACAGAAAGCGAGAAATCACCCCCCAGGGGGGATGGTCACACCGCAATCC